TATGGAGATGGCAGCCCAATTGAGCCAGAAGTCATTCAGCATATTCGTGCTTGTATGTGGCACAGTACGTATGCATTTCAGTGGAAGACTGGAGACATGCTTATTGTGGACAACATGAATGCACTCCACGGAAGACTGAGTTTTACTGGGGAGAGAAAAATTCTGGCTTATTTGATGGCGGATTAGACGGTACTTTGCAGACTGATATAAGACAAATGTCGAGTTGCTTACCATGAAGTATATTTTCTGCTCGTTCATATTAAATACAACGTTTAATTTGATATTGAGAAACAGAATTTTTATAAAGCAAAGTTAGTTTTGACATCTAAAACTAAGCCATTTTTTGTAATGTGAGTATGTTATCACAACTAYAAATACTTGAAAGTCTTTCATATGTATTGTTAAGAGAACCGTCGAAAGGGTAAAAAAGTGGAAATCACAGACTGTGCTTGAAATTCTGTTTTACGGAAGTTATGACTCCATAGTGCAGCAAATTGTACATTGCCCATRCAGTTTCAGTGGCATAAAATAAAAATATGGAGTGCAACTGAAAAATTGGCTCGAGTGAAGCAAGTCACTAAATTTTGAGCCGCACAATACAATATTACTCTAGCATGCAAATGAAATTTACTCTTAAAAATGATGCCTGTTGACTTCGAAACATTTAGCAAACCATGGTCGTCATATCGTTTATAACGGACATATTATACAAAAACAAACAAACAACAAAAAAATACAAAGTCTTAACTAGTAGACACTACAGTCTATCTTTGTTTCTCGACATTTTTGACAAAGCCTTTTATGATCTTCACGTGTGACGTGGATTTTTTTCTTGGGGTTACCACGTCTTTGTGAAGAGCATTTGGAACGCATCTTAAGTGGGTAACATTTGGATTCTATACCATTTGTATCACATCTATAGCACATCTGCCAATAGTCTTTCCAGCTAGTAGAACTTTCCCAAGACTTTGTACACCTTTTACAGTAAAAGTTAGCAAAGCAAGGCTCTTGTCCAATGTATTCCTTGTATGTCACAAGCAGAGACCCCTTATTACATTCTTCAAATTTAACATTTCTTTCGTCAAGAAACGTTTCTACTTTTGGTCWTATTTTTTGTTTATTGTCTTGCGAGTGGTGACCAGCACCAACAATGATTTCCAGCCAGTTAMGATTCTCACGTGATTCAGTGACGTCACGACTTTCTAGATGACGCAGGGCCTCGTCCATTTTCTTTCTCTCACTTTCGACGATCTGATTGGCGGCGTGTGCTTTGGATGAGTTTTTTAACAGTTGTTTTCTATAGAGTTCTAGTTTGTTATTGTCAGCTACAAGTTGTCCATGAAGATCGATTTCTTGTTCCGATCGGTCGTAATTATAAAACTGAAACAAGGCATTTGAAGCTTTATGGTTTGAATCATCCATCTCTCGTCCGCATTGTTCTTTTTTAGCTTTGTACTCTTGACTTTCATGATGCCTTTTATCTTCAAATGCATTCATTGCTTTCGTTTTCCATTCTTCTCGTTCGTCGTTAAGCTTTGAAGATTTTTTGCGATGGTATAATCCTTTAAAAAGRATACARWGTAGGTCTTCAATTTTGTCAATTTGTGAGGCACTGAAATCTTCCGAGATGTCAACGCTTAACTCTCGATCACTAACTGTGAAGTCAGCAAACCTGAGGTCTGAKTTTAATACACGGTTGATATTTTCGATATTTACTCCATCATCTCCAATCACTTTTGACCGGGTTACGCCGTCCATSAACTTTATTTTGAGTCTTCCATGTTCTAGTCGGGGCACTTCCTCTATATTGTCACTTGAAGGGTTTGGGAAAACCTTGTAAGTATGTACTTCGGGAATTTTTCTAAATTCATCGCGATTGTTTTTTATTCTGACAAAATWTACTCCTGYTTCATTGAAAGTAAATCGAAACTGAATCTTCCCGTCTTGAAAAAACAACTTATGATTAAGATCACCAAAGTCTTYACMGTTTGCCCTGGATTGCAAAGACCATTGACGAGGATCAAAACTAACGGGGCCACTAACCGTGTTTCCATATTCGTCGAAACCTTTGACTGAAATTGTTTGCTCTTGATTTGCATAACAAGAGCGCCTTCTGGTTTCATCAGTTTCGTAGATTTCAACCAATGAACCTGATCTTACATAAATCTCATAGGATTTGTTTCCCACTCGTTTTCCATTGATCAGCACATCATAAGATCGTTTTCCTGATACTAAAGGAATCCATTCCAAATATAAACAAGCATCGATCCGACTTGAACGTTTTTTAAAAGAGGATTCCTCTTGATGGTATATTAAGTCGTTGATTCGATTCTTGTCGTTACTTTTTAAAGAAATTTCTGGGATATTGAAATCATTACTCATAACCAAAGGCTTCTTTGTTAAATTGCGCAGTTCTAACTTCAGTTTCACTGCTTGACCAGCGATAACATCAGCAGACGATACAGGAGACAGAATACAGTTTTCTGGAGAGCAGTGGTTTAATTTCTTTACGTGCTCTCCTCGGCCTTGTGCCAAGACGTATATTATAACGACTAGGGTCGAGACTAGGGGTACAACGACTCTGAGGGTCGAGACTAGGGGTACAACAAGTGGCTCGACATATGATAAAAATTCCCAATTCATTTTTCCAACTTGTCGGGCCAGTACTCGTTCAGTTGCTACAAGAAAACAAAAGTAGGATAATATAGTAATTTTTGTTGACTTTTCAAATATTACTATTGAGGCCTGATACGATCTCCTCTCATCGTATTCACACTAAAATTAAATGACAAGGGATCAAGCGCTTCCAGGGGAGGTGCTTTGGGTGCCACTATGCTGCTTAACAATCTATTTGAGTAGTGTAGTCAAAGATACGTTGCAATAAAAGTCAATTTGCTTCTGGTCAAACTGTGCATAATTTTCTTGCTCTAGACAATAATGGTCAGTTCCATATATTACGGA